AATTCATTTTCCGTACCGTCTTCTCGCTACGGAGGGCTGAACAGACCGACGTCTGCGCTCCGTTGGGCCGGTGTGAGACTCTGATGAGCGCCGCGAGGACAGGATGCCCGCGAGCGGCGGCGAGTCGCTGAAGCCCAGCGCCTTCATCCCGGTGTGCACCGCTGTCTGCCTCCTGGTCGGCTCCACCTCCATGTTCTTCGTCTTTACGTGAGTGCGACGGACAATAAAGTGCTAAAAAAACGCAGTTATGGTGCTCATCATTCCTGAACAGTGTAGTGAATCCTGCAGCTTAATGCATTATTCCTTATTTTCCTTAAACACTGCTATTTTTTCATTATAGATAATAGTTCTTTCCATAGATAAAAATACAGGGGAGCAATAAAACATTGAAAAATATCATAAGTTGCTTATTTATTTAACTTTTCCATTGATTTGACTTTGATGGCAGACACTCACATCTGTTCTGGGAGGCTGCCCAGTGGACCCACAGTAAGCACATTTGAGGGGATAAGCCTCCCACAATAAACAGCAGTCTAGTTGGATATGCTTCTACTGCACATTTTACATGTGTGATAATAAAACCAGCAGCTAGAAATAAAAAACACTGCATCTGATATAAATCTAATACATGCAAAGCATGAAAAATGATAAAGTCATTTAATTTAGGAAGATTTGTGAGAAAAGGCTTAAATGTTTGACCCTTTATAGGGCAAGTGACCGTTTTTGATCACTTGCACACCCCTTAGAAATGGAGCCCCCCTGTCCATCAGTGAGGTCTAGAAGCACAAGATCTATATCCAGCCATTCAGCAAGATGCTGCTGTATGGCTGTACATCTTATTTTGGCATTTGACCAATTAGATGAGCCCTTGAATTATATATTACCTTCTATAAGTTAAGTTGGAAAAAAGAATAACAAGTAAAAAAAAAAGGTAAAAAGCTAAATGAAAAGTTAGAAAGTAAAGCTAAACGGTTAATAAACCTCTAAGGTTATGTTGTACCTAAAAAAATATGTTTCTTTCACTCTCAGAGTGTTTTTCATGAATTTCTTATAGATTTTTCTTAATATTTCTGGGAAAGTTGGTGTTTCTTGTTATTATATTGACATACATTTTTGCCATCAAAATATCCATATATTTTTTAAATGTTACAAAGATTATAAGGTCTTGTCCTGGATTCCAATAACACACTACAAAAAAATCTAAAAACTAGTGAAAATGTCTTAAAAAACGTGTATTTACCCTTAATTTGAGTAGGTAAATTAGAAAATCTCCCAGTGGAAGGAACATTTTTATCCTTAAAATCTGATTATTTGATATTATGCACTTGAAATAGGAGACTGCACTTTTCCCCTTATTTGTAAATGTTCTCATTCCATTTGCAAAGTGTCTCACTTACCTGCTCAATTCAAGAAAAAAGGCACTTATTTTAAGAGAAAATTACTTAATTTAGATATTTAAAGTCTTTCACTGAGTGCCCTATAAAGGGTTAAACAAAAATAGTCTGTTTATGTGGGACTATCTGGGTTTTACACATTAAGACCTTCTCTGACTGACCTATCTAACATCATTATGAGTTCTGAACCCCTCTACTGACCCTAGACCTCTGGAGCTGGATCTGTCCTACTTTCTCTTTTATTCTCCTGCAGAGAACTGTTTCCACTGGAGTCTGACACCAGATTGAGAGGGAGAGAAGGGGGGGGTTACAGATTAGAATCTTCTGGCAGATGCCATGTGATTCTCCCATATAGATAAAAAACTGTAGTCTGGATTATTTGAAGCAGTTGACACGTTATGCCTGTGTGACCAGTATCAATAAATGCTTTTTTTTCCCCACTCTGTGTTGCCAATTCTTAAGGAGGCCTTAAGAATTGGCACCCCCCCCTTCTTTGAACTCAATTTCTTCTGAAAGAGACAGAAAAAAAAATCAATGACCTGCGGATGTAAGAGATTGAAAAGACTACTTAACTGGATTCAGTGCTACAGCAGCAAATCCAGGGCGCTTCCTATGATTGAATGAATCTGCTTCTCCTGTGAAGAGGGTTTGCATTTGAGCTTGTATAACTTTGTGACACCTTTTATTTATTTCATTGTTTATTAGCTCAGCCTTGCAGAGTAGACATTAAAATGTACTGATTCCCTACTGTGGCTGCAAATCAAGGCTGGCTGATAAATCAGTTTTAGTGATTAATCAAAGCGGATGTTTATGAAGTTGTCTTTTTTTTTTCACCAATCCACTCTTTAAGCTTCTCTTGTTTTATATTGAGATCCGTTTGTATATTGCATGTATATTTTCATTGTTTACATGGCAGGACCTGGCAAATGTATTCTACACAGCTTGGATTTAGTTGCACATTAAATTGAGGTCAATTTAGAAATGGGATTGTTAAATTAAAAACTATTTTAAAAAAATCATTCATTTGGATTTAGTAAAATAAAAAATCAGAGGTTTTATTTTTATCAAGACACGTACACGTAGATGCAAACTGATTAGCCTGTAGCTCAGCAGACGCTCCTTTACTGGATCAGTTGTTTTGCCTCATTAAATCCAGCAGGAAATCATATTAATATTAACC